CTGAAGAAAAAGTTGCCTCAAAAGTGGTTTGATGTAATTAATAACTGTTAAATCTCAGCGGCACAAACACAGTACTCCAAACACATACCATCTATGAAGTGGATTGGGTCGTGTTGTTGCGGAAAATAGAACACGCCTAACAAAGGTCCAATGGTGTCACTGGGGGAAAGTGTGTCGTAAACGTTCACCCCACTGTCAGGGGTGGGAGAGCCTGAGCCCTCAGTGCAGTGTTATTTTTTTTTAAGCCTTCTATCTTTTTACAAGAAGAGTTTCATTAAAGACGGGCGTGAGAACCTGCTTATTCTTTCTGAGCTGAGCCCTAACGACATTTGATTGGCTGTTAGGTTACTATAGTTGTAAGCGGTGACAACAATGATTGGATAAACGGGCAAGCCGTGATAACTGTGTGTTCATTGTGTGCGATCATAACGGTTTCAACTGCTGATTTCGTTTTTTAAGAAACTTCCATTAACTAAGGGATAGAGTTGGGGTGGGGACAGGGTGGGGGTGAGGGGCTCAAGCCCGTAAGCCCTTCACTACCCACCGCCACTGACCGTGAGAATGAATTGGTTTTTAAGTTTAAAGCAAGGAGCTTGAACTAACTGCGTTTAATCTCCTTGGTTAAAAGTAGAAGTGACAAGTTACCGACGATTCGATAGTTTTCTCCCATAAATGTACTTGCAGTCAAAAGCATGCTAAGCCTGCTGCAGCAACTGCACTTGGTATTAGTGATAGAAGGTGCTTCTTTTCTTTCCTTGTTTAGTTTCTATCTGTCTGTTTTACTTTTTCCCTACACTAAATGGCCATTATCGTGTTGATGTGCTTCTCTTTACCCTCACACACACGCGCACACTCACTCACACGCACACACACACACACACACACACACACACACATACACATTAATATATATACAGGGTGTCCCAAACTCGATGACTGCCAAAAAAAGTTGAATGAAATATAAACCGCTTTAAACACTGCAGTCTTTTGTTAGAGACATAAAGGAACCATCCAGTCAGAGTAATTAGTATAATGTATTACTTTGATAAGGAATCTGCGTTAGAACTGTTAGTTTTACAAAAGATGCTCCGCATGGCCCCCATTATGCGCCATGCATTTCCGTGTTCGGACTAAGGACGTGCAGTGGTAGCGCTTACATAACTTACGAGGTCCTTGTCTCGATTTTTCACTTTTTCTTATTCTGTTCACCTGTTCTTTCCGTTTACCACTGCACACAATTCCCAGAATTACACCCCCCCCCCCCCTAGAAATGAGCTTCGTCGCTAAAGCGAACAGAGTGTTGGAATTTCTGTCTCACCTGTCTTCAAAACCCACGCGCTCGTTGTTTTTCTCTCCAAAGTATTATCTGTGGTTGGTCCTTGGTGGACACAAATAGACGATATAATTTCATTTACAAATCATGCTTTAAAATTCCATGTTGTAATGACTTTGACAAATCAACCTAGTCCACTGCTAAGTTCTCGAACAGACGTCTTTGATGCTGCTACATTATCTGATTCCACATTTCGCAGTTTCGTAAATTAAATGTAATGGCTTTCGAACTGACATCCTCTCACCTTGAACTGTTCTTACGACCCGCAATTATCCCAAATTGCTCTTTCAGAAGGTGCACTAGATCTAGATCTAAATATGGAATCAACTCCTGTTCCCTGCAGTAAGAGGCTTTAACTTGAATATTCTTTGCGGACTTGAATTCAGCGTATTTTCTGACGCAAAAGGCCTTTCCGAGGTTACTCCAAGACATGGCTGATGCAGCAGTGCTCCTCTGACTGGTTCAAATTTGAACATAGATTAAGGCGTCCGGGCGGTCTAACATAATTCGTGTCAAATTTGGTGCAGATCTGCACACATTTGGAGAAGTTATTGTTTTCTCGCGGTCATCAAGTATGGGACCGCAGATATGGTCGCTTTTAAGCACAAGGGGGCTATCCCGAAAAATACTGTTTTGAGAAAATCGAAGGTGAAGTTTTTGCCCATTATTCAGTTTCCTTGAAAGATTAAGGAGAGTTCCCTCTATAACCAAACAAACATACACACCAATATTAGACTCAACTTCTCCTTTTGGTAGGGCAATGCCCAGTTTTGGTGTTGGTCAAAATAAAAAATATTATGGAAACCCCCGAAATCTGGGTTAGCCCGCTTTAAAAAAATGACCGTACACACTCGTCTATAATACTTTAAAATAAAATTGAAATAATATCAAAGATTCTCTATTACTACTAGAGGACAATCTTTGATGATATTGTGCACCTGTAACGAGTAGTGTCAAGGATGAATTAAAAGAAAAGATTGCGTGTTTTCCTTTCTGAATAGTTCATTACTACTAGATCTACATGTATAGCTGTTTTATTTTTTAAAGTGTTATCTGGTGTTTTTGGCTTTACTTTACGCACATCATGTTTTGTTTTGTTTTGTTTGTTTGTTGTTTGTTTCTTGTTTTGTTGTTTTTGTTTTTGTTTTGCTTTGGTTTGTTTGTTTGTTTGTTTGTTTTGTTTGGGTTTTTTTTTTTTGGGGGGGGTCAACTTGTTCGTGTGAAGTAGCTATTTAAATCTAAATAGCTCAGCCACATTTTGAGTCAATTAATTTAAAACTATTAAAAGTTAGCGAACAGGTGTTTGGTGGGTGCTCTTGTGTGGTTTTCTTCTCCTTTCGTATCAAGCATATTTTTATGTCGTCCTCATTTCTTATTCTTTTTTTTTTACATGTATTTACTTTCTCATTATACCTCTGATCTTTGGTGCTTATGATATGACCACTATTGTGTGGCTTGTTAGTAATGTTAGTGCCTTAAAACTGTTACAAAAACTAAAAGGTTGGCAGTTGGGGGACGCCACTGGTTGGTCCTACTTTTTTCTTTCCCTGTGTTGTTTCCGTCTGTCCTGCTTTTTCTTGTCGCGAAATGACCATTTCACTGTGCGTCTCTTTACTTTTTTTTTTTACAAATAAAAAAATTAATGTACTAGTACTACTTTCTTTTTTTGTGTGGAATTTTTACGATAATCTCCTTGTTTGCGCAAGGGTAAAACAAAACAAAATGTGTCAGACAAGAAAGAC